GAATCGATCGGGCGGTGTGTCACGGCCACTGCTCTCTTTTATATACTTAATGCACCGACTATACTCTCTTCGTGAGTCTTTATTTTTACCATCGGTGACTTGCTTTGAGGATATAAAAGGCATCACTTCTTGGGCCTTATCATATGGTCGGTACAGTACCGTAGGGCTCGATAGCAGACAGACGAATGCGGCCGGAGTGAGGCCTTCGACAGCCCACTCCTTCCCCTCTTGGTTCCTTTCAGCGGTGCGGATGGAGAAGTATCCGCTTAGCTTCCCCGCTTCGGCCCAGTGATATAGGGCATGGGCCCGTAGATCAGCCATATTTTCTACCGGAGGCAGTTGACGGTCCCTCCAAGGGCAGTTTAAAGTGACATAGTCGACTTTGCCCCCCTTATTTCCCTGGGGCCCTGATTTCTGGGTGCTATTCTCCTCTCTCCGCTTTGGCGATCCCATCCTCATCGCCATGTGGGCCACGATTCCCGGATGGTCCTTGGGAAATGGCCGCAGTTGCGTGTCGAGTGGGGCACTGGGTGGTGACACCAACCCAGGCACGCTCGGGGTTGCCAAGTGCCAGAGGGAGATAAACACCACAGACAATGAGGTGTGAAATAAAATTTGGTATTTACTTATAGAACTGTCGACACAACTTGAAGGGTGATATAACTTGGAGGTGATGAACTATATACAGCAACAAGGGATAAGCGATGGGTGACGAGTGGAGACTGCAGTATACAAGTACGATGTCTGGTTGGGACAAAGTACAATGCGTTCCAGATTTGGTGATGCAGTAAACTATAACGCTCGGAGCAACCGGAGCAGCTTCTGCTATAGACCTAGGGGTCTGACCAGGCCCCAAGATGGGTGATCAATCCGTCCTGAGAGTCAGAGCCTGGGGACCACGCACCGAGGCGTGCGGTCCCCTATATAACTTTTTCGGCCAATCAGGAAGCTCCCCTGATGGTACATTCTGGAACCCATGGACATGCTGGCCAGCCAGCCATGCCCATTAGGTGGTCTTTGATTGGCTAGACCACAGGTGATCACGCATCGCTCTCATGTTGGGTCAAATTGCTGATTCACTCCGCCACCGCATCACTATTTACAATGGTTGCATCACTTAACACTTCGATACGATAATCTGGCGGGGTCACTTTGCTTGTTGACAGTAGTAAAAGGAAATTAGCAGAATACATGTTGTACCACTTGCTGCCTAAAAACCAAGTTAATTTTAATTACCACTTTTAATTATCAACTTCTGCCCTTAATCTTTTGTAGATTCCTAAAGAAATCTACGATAAGCCTAAAGATTTCAATTTATCTGTCTCCACCAACAGATGTGTGCATTAGTCAAATCTGAACTCTCCCATTGACAACATAACTTGATACTATGGGTGAAAAAAATATTATAATTTCATATTGCTATGACCCTAATTCAGAAAAGTGCAAAAACATGCATATAGTTCTAATCAAGTCAAGAGAGTGTCTTATTCATACTGGTAGGTTTACTCAAACCATTAAAGTCAGGCGCATGCTTAAATCCATTGTTGAAAGAAATCAGTGACTTTTCTGTTCCAGATTCAGTTCTAAACTTCTATTTACCACAGCTGTGTAAAACTTAACTTGGGCCCCAGTCCAGATATGGAATGCAGGAGCTATTTATGGGTTGGATCAGGCACAGGTGATAGTAATAGTGACTGCAGCCACCATGGTGGCAATGGGGTAAGCAACATTGGAACCCCAAGGCTCCGAATTCCACAGCAGGCTCTTCTACACCTGGCTAAGCACACACTTTATGGCCCCCCAATAGATGGGTGTACGAGAAAATGTCTCTGTTGGTAAGCTCTGTATATTTGGCACTCCTGACTTAATGTTACAACCAATGCAATCAATATAATGCAAGCATGCCTGAGCTAGCTTTATACTAGGTAGGTCAGGCACCAAGAGCAGTTTAGCTTCAGCATGAAACTCAGTGCAAGCTAATCTACCCTGTGTAGTCTGATGTTGCATCCTTTACAGAATTTAACTTTACCATGAGTAGCCTGCTACTCTTACCCAAGTTAACTGTTTCAAAGCGACTGCAATTTAGAGGCATCCCAGCAGTGAATATTGCGTCATATAATTTTAATCCTGATCTTGCATAAAATGCTGCAGAGTGCTTAATGTTTTGCAGTGAACCATTGATTAAATTTAATAATGTCCTTTTCTGGTGCACTGATCCATTAAAAAAAGGGGGAGAGAGGGGAAAAAACTGTATTAATTTCCTCAGAAACTTTACACACTGTATTATTTCAGAGACGCCTCCAACTGAAGCTCATGATTTTTCCTCTGATAGAAGGGAAAAAAAAAAATGTTTTTTTTGTTGTTTTTTTTAGCTAAATGGCAGTTTATATTATACCAGTGCCTAGTTGGATCACAAATCACCCTTTTATCACCTGTCATTGTATAGCAGCTGCTGCTCTCAAACTATGATTAGTATAAAACTCTTCAAATCCAATGTTGCTTACACATCTTCCCCAAAGTTTTACTCAACTGATTACCTTCAAATGTTTTGCCACTAAACCATTCATTTAATTTTAGCAATCCACAAAAAGCTAGGGGTGGGGAAGAAAATGTTTTGTGTCAGAGAAAGTCTAAAATTAGTCCACTGTAAGGCTAAAAGTCACTTGAGAATTTTTAAATGGAGTAAAAATATACATAGAGTTTGAAGTGGTCATAATCACTTTATGTAGTATATTGCTGTTGCAATCATTCACAGAAAAGATTGTGAATGCAGCATACAAGGCTGCCTCCCAAACTGCAGCAGAAAAGATTATTCATTGTATGTATGGATCAGGGAGCGTACCAAATAACAGAAAGTAACTACACTATATCTGACTTTAAACTATATAGTTTGACTATTCATAGAAAGTGAGCTGTGGTACCACGGATCTTACTACAAGTCAACCACCAAAATCAATATAAATTAAATCTCATTCTGGAGGCCAGATCTGTTGGCCAATGCACAAACATAACAATGCATAGTGACATAACAATGAAGGGAAGAAACCAGATGGAAATGATGGTCTGAATGCTTTTGAAGTTAGAACAGGGAATGATGCATATACCATAAAGTGAAGATGATGATGACAAAGTTACAAAAACAACCCCCCCCACAAATCTTCCACAATGAAGCACAGGTTCAACTAGTGAGCCATGAAGCCACTCAGCAGCAGCGCATGCACAACGTGGCACAGGGCAGCTGGTGCCACTGTTTCTGGAGCACACAAGCTCCTGGGGTGGAGTGGGAGGAGTGAGGGGCACAATGCTATTATAATACTATAATAGAAGATATTCCTAAACCTGGACAGCTTTACACATGGACAGCTTTAAATAGCCTTTCCAAAGGTGAGAAGTTTTTTTGATTCAGTTAAAGTATGCAGTCAAAGGATAACTAAAAATTCTGTATTTAAAAAAAAACAAAAAAAACAAAAAAAACACAACCCAAAACGTTTGTAATAAAAAAATTAAAAAAAAAAAAAAATCACAGATCTTTTGCAGGTTTCAGCTAGTATTTACCCTGTTTCCTGGGTTTCCTGTTACTCACCCATGCTGAGTTCAATGCTACTGTGGTTTAAGTTAAGGGAACCTGAGCTAGCTTATAAACTTAGTTTGGGTATCTCTACCTATTCATGTCATATACTTATATAAACAAAACCTCTACACCTAATAGTGATTAATGAAAGTGAAATGAAGTGCAAATTATTTGTCCATAATCATTTGGAAAGTTCTTTAAAAATAAAATTGGGTTTGCAAAACAAACTGCTTGTCTGTAAATATTGTGTTTAATAAAAGAAGCCAGACCCCCAGTGAATTCTATGCTTAATGAATAATCTGTCTGGTTTACAAATTAAGTATGCAAAATTCCTAAATTTTCTGAAATTTCTGTCTCTCAGAAGTAAGTATGGATTTCATAGTTAACTGAAGTGCATTTTAAAACAGACTGCAATGGTCCTGGGAAAATTATATTTATCTTGTGAAAATATATTTTTGGCAATTTAAAAAAATGAACGTTTTAGAGTGCGAAGCATGTACTGCTGTATAGATCATTTGAAATGTGAGTTAATTCAATAGTCCATAACTGCTCCACAAAAAAGATAGAAGTGTAGGTGTAATTTTTAAAGAAGAAGGAATGGTTTTCTTCCTCCTCCCCACTCCATGGCTGAGTAGTTTAAAACCTTGAAAATAGTTTTTCTTATGATAACATTGCCATGCCCTCTGCTTCTGCAGCACTAGAACATGCCACAATAATAAGTAAGGGATAAAAGTCTAATGGGAGCTGTGTTTTCAATTACCTTTGAAAATTGCAGCATTGATATACTTGGGTTGATGATGATATGTTCAGGAAACAGATATACCAGATCAAAATATCCTTTGCAGTCAGATGGAAGAAAATTGTCCACTTCTCATGGGTTATTCTATTTCACCTAGCCCATCACTTAAAAACAGGGGAAATAAAAGGCTTTTTTATAAACTTACATCTGCATTTCTTACACACATGAGTAGAGCAGGCTGTCAGTAATAATCAGTGGGAATGTATCAGTGAACTCCAGTTGCCTTTAGAGCAGGGCCCATAGTGAGAAACTTAACCCTCAATTACAAATAAACTGAGAATAAATGGTTGGGGTGGGGCAAGAGGGTTTCTCTCTTTATTATCTTGTGTTCTTTGGCTGAAACAAGAAAGAAAAGATGCAGCTGAGAATGAATAAAAATATGAAAGGTAAAATGTAATTTTTTTTTTTAAGTGTGAAAGGCAGCCCTGACATCCTGCAGACACCTTGATCCATCTGCACTACTGCAAATTTCCTATTTTAAATAAATTTAGTAATTGTATCAATTTATTGGTTTTCCACAAGCCCCAAGTGTCAATTCAGACACACCCCAGTGCCCAGAAGCTTCAGTGCCCCAAGACAGTGATCTTCAGTTGTCAGGAAAGCAGCATTGGTCTCCTAACATATAGCCCAGGGGTGGGCAATTCTTTTGGGAGGAGGGCCGCTTACTGAGTTTTGGCAAGCCATTGAGGGCCACATGACAGGCAGCCAGGGGCAGATAAATATTAATTTTCTAAATTTTTTAGGGGCCCCCCAGGCTGGATAGAATGGCCTGGCGGGCCGCATCTGGCCCCCGGGCCACATTTTACACACCCCTGATATAGCCTATTATTACAATAGCTTTCAGGCTTCTCTAAGTTATGCCAGAAGTTGTCCCAATCCCTAGCTGTCTCTTGTTAAGCTCCTGATTCTCACTCAGAGTCCAATGCAATTGAATGTTGGAGAAGGAAGGAAGCTTCAACCTATACAACCAAGTAGGTACCTCAAGAATATTATGCTCATTGAGACGTATTCTCCCATAATCTTTCTTTGCTTCTACACTCCCTCTCTGAAGTCCATAGCCCTTATACACGGGGGTAGGGAAATTCCAACAGAAGAGGAAATGCACCATCTCTTCTGGCTTTCTATTAGCAGAGTCTCCCCCTGTACAAAAGAAGCTTGGCAGTGGCCATCTCTGGTTTAAAAAAAAAAAAAAAAGAAGAAAGAAAGAAACCTTGAAAAAAAAAACAAACAAATGAACTCAATAGTTTAGTTCTGAAATGCTGAACTTTTGTACAAAGCCCAAGTTGTATTTGATTTAAATATGCATATTAAATTATGAACAACAGTAATGATGTCTCAAAGTGTCCCTTTCTTGAGGCTGTCCTTCTTGGCAGTCAATAGGGGAAGATATGTGGAGCCTACCAGAAGACAATAAGCCAGAGGACTGATGGCTTAGTGAGACTGATTCTACTCTAGAAGTGGGAGGGTTGTTCTGGCCTTTCCCCCCCTTCCTAAGAACATGGAACTGACAGTATTTAGATCTGCAGCTACCTTCATTCAGAAGCACTGTTGCTGGAGAATGGAGGATTGCCGTCTTCCTTTTATGTAATGATCAATGGGTTAAATGACTTGTCAATGACTTGGACAGTATGGATTCTAAACCCTTCTGAATCTGAGGGAATTTAAATCCATTCCTCTTGATCCCCCCTCACTACCAGGCTATAGACTTGGTGTGACTCAACGCTTACCTGACCACCTGTCCAAGGGGCAGTCCACCCAGTCTCTTCTGCCATGACTTGATGTTTAATAAATTCAGTGTAATAAGCAGGAGGCTGCCCATCTTAGTGCCCTGATGCCTAGGGCACCACACATGGTTCCAACATCCCTTATACTATGTCCCATGCCTTGCAGATAGCACCTATATTCCTCCAGTGCCTCACACTGAGACTCTCAGTCCCCACTGGTGCCATAGTCACAGTGCCCTCACCCTGGGCAGTTCTTAGCCTTATGACCCAAATTCAGCCCTACAATCTGAGGGTTTACTGGGGTTTCCCTCTAAACCAAACTCAGTCTCACTATACTTGAGGACTCCCTAGGGTATTGGCCTCCAGCACAAATGTGGCCTCAGGCTTCCATGGACTTACCTTGGCCTTCCTGCCCCCTCCCAGGTGCTTCAACTTACACCCTCTCACTAGGGTGTTCTAACCATGCCCTCTCACTTGGGCCTCCTTCTTAGACCAACACTCTTGTGGGGGCTGGCTCATGTGCTGAACTACAAGTCACTCCTACAACCCTACTCAGCACACCCTCAGGTCCACTTGGCCAGACCCTCATCTACACCCCTCACACACAGCACTTCAGGTTGCTGCACACCCCACTCTATGCAGGCCTCAACATGTACTTCTGCCCCCTTGCTGGGGCCATGGGGTCTTACACAGTATGGGACTCAGGTGTCCAAAGACGTGCCTGGCCCCTGTGCTCATCCCCATCACTGGGTAACACACCACGGTGTGGAGGCTGGGGTTATAAGGCACCCCTGCCCCCCTTTCACTGAGGAGGCAACTGGCCTGACATTTCTGGGGAACTCCCCCACCACAGGCAGCCCCACCAAGCCACCCTTCCCTAGCAGGGTGTAGTTTTCAGTTATACCAAGGTCCAGGAACCTCTTGCCATTCCCATAGCTCCTGCCTTTACCTTGAAGGATTATCTGAGCAACCACTCATCTGGACGGTATTCTTCTAGCTGCCAATAACAGACTGCTGGCTCAGCTCTGAGGGATTGTGTTAAAATGGATGCTGTTCTGCCCCCTCCTTCAATCACAATGCCCTCCTGCAGTCATCTGACTGCCTCATCAGCCTGGGCCACACCTGCTGGCTGCCCTGCTGCCTGATCTAAACCTTAAGGTGGCAAGCACTGAAGGTGCTCTGCCAAATGTGGATTAGCTGAAAGGTTTCTTCATCTGGGAGATATTGCTGCAGATGAGGCTGCTACTTCCAAATAGGAGGCACGTGAGGCTCTTACTTTCTGGGTGAGTGCTCCAACTACTAGGGAATTATATAAAATATGGAAACTAAAACCTTTATAAAAGAAAACAGTGAGCAAGTTGGATGCCCATAAGAACATCTTAGGCACCTAAATCTAAATTACATTCTCTGAATTCCAGTTTCATGAAGGCATCTAGTTCCAAGGTACAGGCACATGCCTAAGTAAAGTATAAAACTGGATTTCAGATGTAACCCTTAGCATTGTTTCCTGTTGATTTGTTCAGGCATCCTCTCCAAAGCCAGGGCACTGAACTCTTCTGATTTAAAGTTTAGAAAAACGAAGTGCTTAACTTGAACACAGTGACCCTTGAGCAAGGTCATCCTAACATGACTATAATAATGCTGGTTTGAGAACTAGCACCAGTAGATCTAGAGTAGCATTTTTCATCATGACATTTGCTTGCACAGTATCAACATCCTGTCAGGTACCTAGCATAAGGTTAAGGGGTTTAGACATTGAAGTACAAAACTTAGATTCTCAAAACCACTGTTCTGATGCTGCTTCACAGTGGAACTGCCTAAACTCCATAGGGGCAGCAGTTATTAATCTTACAATAGCCAGGGACCCAAACTACTTCTTCATGGCATGCTCAGCATCCCTTTGATTCTGATATAATTAAGCAACTCAGAACCAATATCAAGTTTAATCCTATCACTTTCTTAACATCCCACTATGTATCACCCTGAGGGGTTCAATCTAGTAGGGTCAAATCCTTTTTCACCGCTACATCACCTAAGTGCCACTTAGTGCAATCCTATTCCACCCTGCTCAAATTCTTAAAAAAAAAAATAATTGAAAGGGTAGTTAGGTTAATGTAAAAGGTGAACAAGCCTTCTTCCTCGTTTCTGTTTTATGTGACTTAGTCTTAAGGCAAAAACTAAGCAAAAAGATGAAAGCATGTTATAAACATTAAAGTATTAATATTTTTTCAGCAGCTCAAGCAGGGTGGAATAGGATTATATATAAATGCTTAAGTACCACTTAGCCGTTTTAGAGGTATAATAGGAGCTAAGCCTATGTGTTCTCAAGCTCCACAGAAAGCATAGCTGTAGCAGTAATTTTCCTTGAAGGTTAGCTAAATAAGTTGTCTCTCTCCACCTCCCTTCATATAACCGTTCAGCAGTTAGAGTAATTATTTAACATGTAGGAGAGTTAGATTCAGTTCCATTCCCTGCTATAGATGATTAAAACTCAAATCTTCTTATAGCAGTGGTGGCCTAACCATGGGACACTTTATACATGTGCTCTGATGAACTCCAATTAAAATCTCCCCCCACCCTCCCCCATCACCCACCATCTTGGTCTCATCCTCTGGCACCAGCAAGTGGGTGCAGTCGGTGGTGTAGTCAGCCTTGTTCCCCTCCCAGCTCTGGAAGGCATCTGACACAGAGTAGTACCAGGTTCTCTGGTGCAGCCAGCCTTGGGGACACAGGAAGCAGGTGCCACCTATGGGGAGGGTATCTGCTGGGGTGCAACAGCCCCCCCCCCCCCCCCCACCAATGTGGCTGGCTCTGGGGGTGATGTTGATGCTGGGAACTGGATATAAAAGGTCAATGCTGCAGCTGGCTCTGGGATGTGACAGTGGCTGGGTGTAATAGGGATCTCTGATCTCTATGAGGTAGGACACTGGGGACAAGGTATAACAGGTCCCTTCTGCAGCTGGCTCTGGGACGTGGCATCAGGGCTGGGTGTAACTGGACTCCTGATGTTACTGGTTCTGGGGTTGGCACTGGCAGCTGAATATAACAGGTCCCCACTAGAGCCACCTCTGGGGTGAGACTGGGTCTAACAGATCCCCTGTGATGCACCTGGCTCAGGGATGGAGGTGTGGGATTTCTGGGGTGAGGCATCAGGGCAGGGTTTAACATGGGAAATCACTGACATGGATGTGGTGCTGCATAGGAACAAAGTGCAGTGATATAACACAAAGTGAAAATGATTGGTTTAGGCCTAGAAAGAGCAAGAACATTACCAAATACAGACAAAAAATTGTAATAAGCATATTCATTGGTTTAAGGGACAAAGAGGAAATGATAGCAGTTAGGCAGTGAGAAAAGCCACAGCCCACAGACTTCCCGCTTAAATTGCAGGCTCAGTCAGAGTTCACTACTACAAAGAAGCCCCTGTTCACTCCTCTCAGAGCAGTACTTCTGGGTTGTGATGGGAGTGATTTATTTCTCATAAGTTTAGGAATTCAGATGAGCTGTGTGGCAGAACTCTGTTTTTCCACAAAAACTCTGTTCTGTGACAATTGGGTTAGGATGGGCCCTGCAGAAGGTACACACCTTACCCTATCTCTTTAGGTAGCCTAAGCTGGATACATTTCTGAGGGAGGGAGAAACCTGCTCCCTCTGCCTGCCTGACTGGCATCACATACTTGGGTGAGGGGCTTGGGCTCCCTGGTAGGCTAGAGACTGCCAGTCTGTCCAGCAACCAGTGATGCATTTCAAATTGATTCTCTTGGTTCCCTTGGTTTGACTGACTAAGGGAGACCACTACTTGCGCTTCTGACTGAGGGAAGCACCCCAAATTCTTGAAGTGAGTCAAGTACCCTTGAGGGCTACTAGGCATGTATTTCCCAAGGGGCTCCAGGAAGGGGGTGTTCCAGGAACGGGGTTGGCCAGATGTGAGGTTCCCCCAGGGAGGCACTCAGAGCCTGGAAGGTGGTTGGGCACAGTGAGGTGGCTGGCTCAGCACAGAAGCACTCCTACTGGCCCGCCACAAGCTGCTGTGGGCAGGGACACCTGTCTGGCCAAGACCCATTCCATGCCCCCCCTTCCCTACAAGCATGGGCAAGGGAATTTGACTGAGGGATTGGCCCATGGGGTCCCATCTGGTTTCCATGGAGACCCCACCCACCTGCCGTTGACCTTGCCCCACTCCTAGAACAGTGGAGAGCCCAGGTCTCTCCATCCTTACCCAGCAGTAGTCAGTGGGCACTTCTACATGTGCATTTTAATGTGAAGTAGCTTATTTTACTGCACATTAGTGTGTCACAGCAAATACTGCTAATACGCTAGTGCACAGTAAAATTAAGCTGCCATGCATTGCACTAAAAAAACATACACTTTTGCTACTGTACATTAGAACAGCCTGATAAGAATTTAGTTAGTACCTCACATTAAAGCTACTAAATTTAATGTGCAGTAGTAAAAGCAAATTAATGAACTTGTAGACAAACCCAGTGAAGTTTAGCTCAAGACCCAGAGAGGAGCAGGCTTTAAGATATCCTTAGTATTGCCTATTGCTTAGCTTTGGTGATTCCGCTAAGCTTACTGGCTTTTGCAGATCCTATCCTTAAGTGCCAGATCTCCCCCTATATTGGAGCTAGTCATTTAATGAAGTCTTCTTGATTTCACTAGGTACCTAAAAGATAGTCACTGAAGTACCGAGCATTGCAATAGTAGTCACGTTTTGAATCGGAGACATAGATACTGCATGCTTTAAGGAACCTTAAGATAGAAATGTAGAAAACATATAGCTTTTTACAATAACTATTTAAATAAACTTAAGGACATTCAACTAATGTAGTATCATTATACCCATTTTAAGGAAGGATAAACTTGATCCATTGAATCATATTGTCTTACATGATGACTCTACATATGAGCTAAGAGGGGTTCCCTTTTACAACTGCTAAGAGATGATGTCTTCCCTTACTGGTAGAGAGGAGAACTCATATTCTCCTCAAAAGTAATATCTTCCCCTAAATATTACACAAGAGAAATTTTACACCTTGTTATGAAGTACTTATTTGACAATCTACACCATTAAAGGACTGTGCCAGGACGTCACAGTGAAGCGAGCCACGTGTACTCCATGTGCATTACACCCTGAAAGGGATGTTATGTAGCTGCCGTAGTGCAGTGCTGAGCAAGTGCCAACTTAGGCATGCCCATTCAGTCTGGTGACAAAATGCCTATTTTCTTCTGAGCAGATGCCTCTTAGTCTCCACTTCCCAAATTGCCAGAGATATAGTAGAAATAGTAGAGCTCTAATTCATATACATGAGCAAAAACCTAGGCATTTTGCTCTGCTAGAAAACTATTTATCAAGAACACCATTTTTATATGCTAGTAATGTCAAAGCAGAATCCCTAGTGTTACTGAGACTGTGCTCTAGTGACAGCTGGGCGACAAGCAGTAATTGAACATATTTAAAAATCCGCCCCATGTACCGAACAGATTTCAATGTCTGCTTTGTTTAAGGTCCACTGAGTTGTGAAATGGTTGCTTCATTCACACAGATGTTAATATCTCCAGGCTCTTCTTTGTTGTTTCTCATTTACATATTTGCAGTAAGTTTGCTGTTCATGAAGTGAGACACAGCTAGTTGTCACTACTCTTTGTTATAATAATGCATGTCCTAGACAAAATACGAGAAACTGTAATTACATCTCATTAAGGTTTAAGGAGAAAAATAATAAGGAACATACCAATAGGTGTTCAGTCACTGGTGCTTCATTAGTTTCTTTACTGTTTAAATACCTGGAGCTGATGAATATAAATTAGTCAGGGAAAAACAGTACTGTTTTGAGTAGATTTTAGTTTTTCTCTGTCTCTTCATCTATGAAAACGTTTTGATGTAATGAGATGACCAGATATTATAGCTTTATATAAATACCATAGTTAGTCATTTCTTAAAAAGACTTCAGGTTTTATTAAGATTTACCCATTCTCTGAAACTCTTTATACATTTTTGAACA